AACCTCCATGTTTTTGGAGGTTTTCCAGACTGCTTCCTGTGATTGATTTCAAGTTTCAAAGCATTATGATCTGAGAGTGTGCATGGTATGATCTCAATTCTTTTATACTTATTGAGGGCTGCTTTACATCCTAGTATGTAATCTATCTTGGAGAATGTGCCATGCGCACTTGAGAAGAAAGTGAATAACCTGGCCTCACGATGTAGAGATCTGAATAAATCTGTCAGATCTATCTGGTCCAATGTGTCATTCAAGTCTATTGTTTCTTTAGTGATTTTCTGTCTGGTTGATCTCTCCATTGCTGTAAGTGCAGTCTTAAAGTTTACTACTATTAGCACATTCTTATCTATAAGATTTTTTCTGTTTGTGATTAATTGTTTTAAATCTTTAGATGCTCCCATATTTGGTGCGTAGACATTTATAATTGTTATTTCTTCCTGATAGACCCTGTAATTATTATATTATGCCCTTCTTTATCCCTTGTTATTGTCTTTAAAGTCCAGTTTGTTTGATATAAGTATAGCTACTCCAGCTTTCTTTTGACTTCCCGTAGCATGATAGATATTTCTCCATCCACTTACTTTTAATCTGAAGGTATCTTCCAGTTTAAAATGGGTTTCTTGTAGAACATAAATTGATTGATTTTGTTTTTTTATCCATTCTGCTACCCTATGTCTTTTGATTGGAGCATTCAGCCCATGTACATTCAGTGTTATTATTGAAAGATATGGGTTTAGAGTCATTGTGTCCTTTGTGGGATTCATGCTTGTGGTGGTATCTCTGCTATCTTGCGTTCCTTGCAACACTTCCCTCAGAGAGTCCCCCTCATGATTTTTTGTAGGGCTGGTTTAGTGGTGACAAATTCTTTCAGTTTTTATTTGGAAAGACTTTGATCTCTCCTTCTATTCTGAATGACAGGCTTGCTGGATAGAGGATTCTTGGCTGCATATTTTTTCCATTCATCCCATGAAAATCTCTTGCCATTCCTTTCTGGCCTGCCAAGTTTCAGTAGATAGGTCTGTCACCATTCTGATAGGTTTCCCTTTGTATGTTTAGGGCCCTTTTCTCCTTAGAGGCTTTCAAAATTCTCTCTTTTTCCTTATATTTTGCTAGTTTCACTATGATATGTCATGCAGATGATCGATTCAGTTACGTCTGAGGGGATTTCTCTGTGCCTCTTGAATTTCAACTTCTACTTCCCTCTCCAGGTTGGGGAAGTTCTCTGCTATAATTTTTTCCAGGACCCCTTCAGCACCTTTCCCTCTCTCCTCCTCTTCTGGAATTCCTATGATACGGATGATATGTTCCGTCTGATTTTATCGCTGAGCTCTCAAACTTTTCTTTCAATTTCCTGGATCAGTTTATCTTTTTCTCAGTTTCTTCTTTTTCTATAATAGTGTCTTCTAAATCACTTATTCTCCTTTCTGCCTCTTCAATCCGTGCATTGGACACCTCCAGTTTATTATGTATCTCATTTATCCCATTTTTTAATTCACCATAACTATTTTTAAGCTCCATATTGTTTGTAGCCATAGTTTCTCTGATGTCCTCCATGCTTTTTTCAAGCCCGGCGATTAATTTTATGATTATTGTTCAAAATTCTTTTTCAGTTATGTTGCTTAAATCTGTTTTGAGCCGTTCTGTAAGCTGTCATTTCTTCCTGGAGTTTCATTGGAGGAGAGTTCTTCTGTTTCGTCATTTTCATTAGCTTTCTATCTCTTGTTAATTTCAAAATCTTTTTGTGCACACGGCCCCTGCGAGTTCTGCTGTATTAGAGAGGGCTCTTTTGACTGTTCACGGCCTGTCTTTTCAGGAAGTGTTCTTTATTTTTTTTAAATATTTTTATTGTTTTATTTATTTCCGAGAGAGAGAGAGAGACAGAGTGAGCAGGGAGGGTCAGAGAGAGAAGGAGGGAAATAATCTGAAACAGGCTCCAGGCTGTGAGCTGGCTGTCAGCACTGAGCCCGATGGGGGGCTCGAACACACGAACCGTGAGATCATGACCTGAACAGAAGTCGATGTTTAACCGACTGAGCCACCCAAGTGCCCCCAGGAAGTGTTCTTTGGCTGGTTTCTCTTGTAGAGCATTTGGTTATTTTGTTTCCCTACAGGTAGTGGTATTTGGGACTCTCCACCATGTGTAGTTTTGCTTCTTGTTTCTTGAAGCATCCCTGGAAAAACAAAACAGACAACCAGAGGGAACACAGGTACACAAACGCACAGACAAAACCAATAAACACGCAAACCCAGTCTCAGGTAAAAACAGCTACAATAACAACAATACAGTTATCTGAAGGGGATGGGCGTGGTTTGGTGTAGGTAAGTCTCATCTCCACTGTGTCTGCTGGCCTCCCTTCGGGCCTTCCTTGGTGGGTGTATGGAGAAGAATGGCGTCGCCGGAGTCCGTTTTCAACCAAGGGTTGCAAATCACTTCTTCGGTCCTATCTCCCTGTGCTGAGGATGTAGCCAAGTTGGGTTGAGTTCTATGGCCCACACCCAGCCTGTTTCCAGGTCCCAGTCCTCGGGCTTTGTTATACTGCCCTGAGCAGTCCTGCAGGTCGCTGCTTCCCCGTTGCCTGGGGTTGAGTGGGGGTTGGGGGAAGTGTCCCAATCTCACATCTGCAGTGGTCAAGCAGGGATACAACCCAAGTCCATTCAGGGAACCTAGCAACTTCAGGTCCCTAGAGTCTGCCTCGCTGCAGTGCATTGCCACTGCTTCAGCAGGCCGCTGTTGTGAGCCGCTGCCACTTTACCGGGCGCCGGCACAGCTTCACCGGGTCGCCGCCGCCGTCGCCACTGCTTCAGCAGGCTGCTGTCACGCATGCCACTGTCGCTTCACCCGGCTCTGGGACCACCTCAGCCGCCACTGCCATGGATGGTGCCAGGAGCATGGCAGTTCAGGTTTTCTTGGCGCCTTCTGGGACCAGGGCACCTAGTTTAAAGTCAGCACCCCAGGCAGAGCTAAAAAACACTGTCTTTCCAAGCCAAGGTTTTTTCTCTTCTCCAGGGATGGTTCTATGAGCAATCTCAGCTTTTCTTTCATTTTCCCTGGGCTCGCGGCAGCTCACCACCACTCGCTGGTTTATCACTCACCACAGCTGCACGCAAGCCAGGTTCCCTCCCCTCCCTCCGTATCTCTGGGTCCCGTCCCACTTTTATCTTCCCCAGTTCGCACTCACGCACTTATGAGGTTTCCTTCCCAGTGTACTCTGTTTCTTTCTCTTCCCAAATTCCTATGGCGCAGTGTCCTACGACTTCAGGCCTTCTCTGTTTGAGAGATGGGTGCAGGTGAAATGTACAGAGCTCCCTACTTCTCCGCCATCTTGCCTCCTATCTCATTGTGTCAGTTCTTAATAGTCCATTTTTTAAATGTTTTAAGCTTAAACAAGTATACATGTACAATTATGACTGATTAAAACTGAAAATTTTGAATTATTTGTGACTTCTATTCCTTGTATAGCTGTATATAATTAAATTGACTTTTTTCTTAACTCAATGCATTTGCTTTCTTTATGAAGACATAGGAAGCAAAATAACAAGGATGCTCCTCAACTACAAATTTTAATATACTTAATATTTTATATGTTTAGAATCCAAATTTCCTATTGTATTTTTAGGAGGGGCTGGCAAGGTTCAATATATATAGTCCTCTGGACGTTTTCTAAAGAAGACATACAGATGGCCAACAGAAACATGAAAAGATGCATTTCGTCATCAGGAAATGTAAACTGATACCACAAAAGGTTATCACCTTACAACTATCATAATGGCTAGAATCAAAAAGAGAAGGAATAACAAGTGTTAGCAAGGATGTGGTCAATAGGAAGCCTCATGGGCTCTTGATAGGAATGTTAAGTAAATTGGTACAGCCAGTGTAGAAAACTGTATGGAGATTCCTCAAAAAATTAAAACCAGAAATACCATATGATCTAACAATTCCAGTAGTATTTACACAAAGAAAACAAAAACACAGAAATATATAGGCACCCCTGTGTTTATTGCAGCATTTTTACAATAAACAAGATATGGAAGCAACCTAAATGTACATATGTACATCCATAGATGAATGGATAAAGAAGATAGAATGTGTGTGTGTGTGTGTGTGTGTGTGTGTGTGTGTGTGTGTAATGGGATATTATTGCACTGCCATAAAAGATGAGATCTTGCCATTTTCAACAACATGGATGGACCTGGAGGGTATTATGCTAAGTAAAGTAAGTCAGACTGGGAAAGACAAATACCATATAATTTTATTCTTAAAATATTAAAAAAAACAATGAATAACAAATAATAAAGGGCAGAATTAGACCTATAAATACAGAGACAAGATGGTGGTTTCCAGATAGTATTAGGTGGTAGTATGGGCAAAATGGGTAAAGAGGTATGGGAGACACATATTTCCAGTTATGGAATGAATAAGTCACAGAAATAAAAATTATGGCATGGGGAATATAGTCACATGTAATGTAATAGCATTGTATGGTCACAGACAGTAGCTACACTTGTGGTGAGCACAGTATAAAGTATAGAGTTGTTAAAATCACTAAGTTGTACACGTGAAATTAATGTAACACTATGTGTCATCTATACCTTCCCCCAAAAGATACACAGTCCTTTTATTGTCAGAGCTTTATATGTTAGGTACATTGTAATTTGAATAATATTTACAACATGTCCTTGGCTAATTATTTTGTTTCACTTTTAAGTTTGATTAGGTTTAATAATTTCCAAGTCAAGGTTAGATACATTTATATAATTCAAACCACTTATAAAACTAATATGCTTTTAAATCAGGGCAATAAGAAGAGTGAAGGTAATTAATAAAGTATTACCCAATTTCCTAAATCTATAACCTTTACTACATTATGAGTTTTATTAGGATATCCTCTATAGAAATACATGTTACAGGAAAATTAATTCATTTTTGTGGCATCTCCTAGATACATTTTTATGAAAATATAAGTCCCAAAATTGAAGGGGAGAATATAACTACAACTTACTCCTTGACAATGAAGGTAGTCAACTGTCTTAATTATTACAAACAGTACATCACTAGCTTCCCGTTCTGAGAAACATTTTTTTTTGAGAATATGATCAAGTAGTTCTCCTCCTTTCATCAAATCCGTAACAAGGTAAACATATCTACCATCATCATAAACCTAAAAAAAAAATTTAATGTTATTATTTTTAATTATAATTCTTAAATGTTAAAATTTTATTTACTTTCCTTTTCTAGGGAATCTCTAGTGTTAAAAAAAGGACATTATCCTTTTACTGTTAATATAGTACTGGCTACACTGAAGATTAAACTGGTTAAACAACTTTCTACACAGTCTTGAGATATGTTAAGCATATGACTTTATTAACTTTTGAAGTTGTACATTATACTTCATCAAATGATATAAATGGAACAATAGGAGTCTGTGCCTCTAAAATGGAATCTATCTCACTTTTGAATATATTATAGCCAAATCTCTTCCTTACAATAAGCTTTCTTCTGGCAGTAAACATATTTTTAAAAAAATTTTTATAGTTTATTTATTTTTGAGACAGAGACAGAGCACAAGTGGGGGAGGGGCAGAGAGAGAGAGGGAGACACAAAATCTGAAACAGGCTCCAGGCTCTGAGCTGTCAGCACAGAGCCCGACACGGGGCTCATAGTCATTATCCATGAGATCATGACCAGAGCCAAAGTTGGACGCTTAACCGACTGAGCCACCCAGACACCCCAACATATTGTTTTTAAATATCATCCCCACAATTCATTATCTGATATGGTGTCTTAAATATTTGTTGAATTCAAATAATATAAAGGAGAACAAATAAGAAAAAAATGTGTACCCTTTAACTCAGGGCATGTGAGATGTTTGTGTATAGTGTGTGTGTGTGTGTGTGTGTGTGTATAATGAACTACTTCTTAAAGATTACAAATCAAAATGCATAATACTATTTTACTCAAGGAAAAATCTATAATGTTATAGCTGTTTACTGTATAATCAAGAAAGTAAAATATTTTAGAATTTGACAGATTCCCAATCTCCTATATCTTCTATATTTATAGTACTACCGGATAATAAATGGTGCTGGTTATAATGTTGACTAGTTAATGAGCCCGAATAGATTCAAATAATCAGGACATTCTCATTTACCTATCATCATAGTTCCTTTTTGATGTTGTATAAGAAGGGCAGGAGTATAGAATCATAGGGGAAAAAAAAGAACTGAAATTGCAAATTTAAGAATTTTGAGATTTCGTGGCATAAAAGTAGAATATACCATAAACATGAAAAATTTCAAAAAGAGAATAAAGTGCCAAGTCATAACTTCATTAGCTAATAGATGATGTATAGATTTTAAATACCTACATCTTTTAAAGTAATAATGTTGGGGTGTTGTCCATAGCGCATCAATATTTCAATTTCTTCTGAAGGGTCTCTCTTACTTTTGTCAATGATCTAAGAAATAAGTCAAGAAAAATCTCAGAGAAAACCAAATTATTTTCTTTGTCTAAAAATGAATGAAATACTTTCAATTTGGTCATATTTTAAGCAAACACTTAAAACTCAAGAGTGATGCCTGCCTCATATTATTTTAACATTTAAAAATTTCCTATAACTGAAACTTAACGATAAAAAAAGAACAATTTCCTTAACATTATATTCTAGATAACTGAAACTATACCAACTGATGTGATTCAAATGTGACACTAATTGTCACAATTGAACAATTTTAATATATTATATTAAAATAAAACTATTTAAAATAAGACACTCATGAAATATACCATTCCTTCAAAATAAAGTCTTATAAATTCAAATGAAAATATTAAGTCTTAAGACTTGTCCCCCATCATTTTATCTTTGCTATCTCTACTTGCTTCACTGAAAAATGTCTATCAGTTAACCTGTAATTTAAATTTATATATATAATATATAAATATGCATATTGTATATATAAATATATAGAATGAACAAAAGACTTAGACTCAGATAATACCTTCACTGCAAATTCCATGTTCGTAGCTCTATGTATGCATCGCTTGCAAACAGAATAGGAACCAACACCAATATCCTCTTTTAATTCATATACTTCAGTAAATTGTGCAGAATTTCCATTTATCTGTTTTTTAAAAAGTAAAATACTAAGGAGAATGAAATATTTTCACTTTTTTATCTTCTCTCCTAAATATGCATTAATCTGAAATCTTAAAAAATTTCATTTTAGAGAAGTTTTACCACTATTGATAAAAGGTTTAAAGAGATTCTGAGCTGATCTTAATTTTAGGTTTTATAGACCCCCAAAGCCAATACAATAAATCAACTAGCTTATACATCACCATTACATTTTTCTTGCCAGATGAGATTACATAAATATAATTAAAGGTTAATTACTGTCTGCCTTTTTTCCTAAACAAATTGAGACATCTTTAAATCATATTACACAGAGATAAATTTAGAAGTTAAAAATCACTTAAATATTATTGTAAATCTATTAGCAATAACTGAAGGAAATAATCATCCCTACACTGAATAATCTGATTCAAGGTGGAATTTACCTGAACAATTGGTAACTCGTTTGCACTTATAACAGGAGTGATTTTATATTCTTCTGCAATAGAAGTTGCCACAAAGCTGAATCCTTTGAAGAGTTGATGAGCATTAGCACTAGCTGGCAAACCAGGAGAATCTAATATCCAAATAATGTTATTTAATTAGAACTACACAAAATTCTGTGATATGAAATGTTAGCATTTCTTTAAATATAAAAGAAACCATTAAATGCTACTATCAGTCATATAATGTGTTTGATTTATTGTATATTATCTGTCTCCTCACGCTAGTATGCAAACCCCATGGATTATAATTTTTGCCTCTTCTGTTCACCGCTGCATCTTCACTGCATAGTACCTTCAATGTTTGTTCGCATTCAATATTTGCTGAACGAACGTATGAAAAAGATGCTACTATAAGTAGAACTTACTAAATTATAAATTTTAAGAGTCTGTTATATGTCATGTCTTACCTTCTACCCCTTACCCTATAATGTATTAGCATGTCAAAGGACTTTTAAAAGAAGAAAAAGATTTTTACCCTTTGCTCTAGCCCCTTATTCCCTGATAAATATTTCCTATTTAAATTCTCTGTTTGAAAGATGCACAACAGTGCAGTATATAAGATATGCACTTAAAGGACAATCAATTATCCGCAAACTTAAAATTCATTTAGTTTTTATCTAAGAAGCTCATTTAGTTTTGACCATCTAATTGAATGAAAGCCCCGATATTACATATAAACAAACATGCATTACCTTTAGGTGTTTTTGCAGTAAATTCAGGATCAAAACAAAAAGTATCATCTGGTTTTCCAGAAGCTGGTTTGAAAGGAGGTTGAATTTCTCTTCTATATAATTTCTAGAAGAAACAACAGGATAACACAAAATCATATTAACACTTTAAAATTATATTTTGTAAGGGAAAGCAGAACATAATATTCACAGACTTTAACAGAAGCTCACAATTTAATAAATAAAATTTTAACAGGCTTCAGATACCTGTGAACCAAATTCTTAAAATTTGAGAGATAAAATACACAATCAAACGAGACCAGGAAACACAGCACTGATGCCAAAGGTTGTATTCACAAGGAATGATGCTCAATTTTTATATCAAAAACTGACTTGAATTTGCATTAGTAAAATAACCATACAGAATATATCACAATATGACCACGCAGAAATAACTAGCAACATTCAAGCATTTCAAAATTAGTAGACTATCTTCAAGAAGTATATATTTCACCTAAGATTAAAAATGAATTAAATGCACTGTTTAAGGCTCTTCTTATATAATTCAAAAATTTCATCTTGTCTAAAATTTAACTTCCTAAAATTTATGTTTTTGAAAGACACTTAAAACATCTTAAAATACATAAGATCTACTCCCCTTTTTTTTGAAATCTGCTTTTTAAAATGTCACACACCCACACTTAGGGAAAATTAATAGAGAATTACTTTGATTTTCATTTATTTAAATAAACATTACATTATTTTGTTATTTAAATTAAACTCAATGGACATAAATTGTTTAGATATGAGAATGATGGAAAAAAGGAATTTGTAATTTGTCTAGTTAAGGAGAAAGGAAGAGTATACTGATAAGTATTAGAAAAAAAAGTGGCATGGGTATAAAAGGACACCAGGGAAAGAAACACATACAAATGACACAGGGCAGACTCCCATGTAGCATGTCCATTCAGTAATCTTTTAGGGTATTAATACTAATGGCTTCTGTTATGCAGTTTTACCATGATAAAAAATAAATATCTTTTTCCAAGTTTTTATTTAAATTCCAGCTAGTTAACATACACTACAATATTAGTTTCAGGTGTAGAATTTAGTGATTCATCATTTACATATCACACCCAGTGATCATAATATCAAGTGCCCTCCTTTATTTTTTTTTTTAATATTTTTATTTATTTCTAGGAGAGAGAGAGAGAGACAGCCTGAGCAGAGGAGGGTCAGAGAGAGAGGGAGTCACAGACTGAAACAGGCTCCAGGCTCTGAGCTGGCAGTCAGCACCGAGCCCGACGCGGGGCTCGAACCCACGAACCGTGAGATCATGACCCAAGCGAAAGTCGGACGCTTAACCGACTAAGCCACCCAGGCGCCCCTCAAGTGCCCTCCTTTAATGCCCATCACCTGTTTAACCCATCCCCCCACCCACTATCAGTTTGTTCTCTAGAGTTAGGAGTCTGTTTCTTGGTTTGCCTTTTCTTCCCTTTATGTTCATCTGTTTTGTTTCTTAAATACTACATATGAATGAAATCATATGGGATCTTTTTCTGACTGACTTATTTTGCTTAGCATAATACACTCTAGCTCCATCCATGTCATTGCACATGGCAAGATTTCATTGTTTTTTATGGCTGAGTAATATTCCATTGTATAGATATACCACAAATTCTTTATTCATCAGTTTATGGACATTTGTGCAGTATCCATACTTTGGCTATTCTGGATAATAATGCTGTAAACATTCGGGTGCATGTATCCCTTCTAATCAGTATTTTTGTATCCTTTGAATACATTCCTAGTAGTACAATTGCTGAATGGTAGGGTAGCTGTACTTTTAGGTGAGGAACTTCCATACTGTTTTCCAGAGTGACTGCATCAATTTGCATTCCTACCAACAGTGTAAGAGTGTTTCCCTTTCTCCAAATCTGTTGTTTTCTGTGTTGTTAATTTTAGCCATTCTGACTGGTATGAATGAGGTGATATCACATTGTAGTTTTTATTTGTATTTCCCTGAAGATGAATGAAGTTGAGTATCTTTCATGTGTCTCTTGGCCATCTGGATGTCTTTGAAAAAATGTCTACTCATGTCTTCTGCTCACTGTTAACTGGATTATTAATTTTTTGGGTGTTGAGTTTTATAAGCTCTTTATAGAATTTGGATACTAGCCCTTCATCAGATATATGACATTAACAGATATCTTCCCCCATTCTGTTAATTGCCTTTTACTTTTGCTGATTGCTTCCTTCATTGTGAAGAAGCTTTTTACATGTTAAGTGTGGTTACTATTCTAGTCTGTTGTAGGTTGGGGAATGTGAAGGAGGAAGAGAAATAAATTAGAACTTATTTTCTTTAAGAATTTGCCTTATCATTAACCCCCTCACTTCTTCCTCTTCCTCCTTCACATTCCCCAACATAGAACAGGCTAGAATAGTAACCACACTTAACAGATAAAACATATGAGAAACAAAAATTTACTAAATATATCCACACACAAACTTGTTCAAGGTAATTGTCATGACATCTATGCCTCTAAGTAAAAACCTCATATCAAAAAAAAAAGGATTAAATTTATCAGCAAAGTTCCAAATATGATCATTTTATTCTTCAGTGTTAATTCATATTAAATCACTCAGTGACAAAGTTTTTACTGAACTTACATTCCAGTCAACATTTGCAAAAAAAATATGTCTTTTGATTTCCTCAACTCCTTCTGAACCTATAAAAAGGGAAACAATTTTTTACTGGTATAATTATTTTTAATTTCTCTACCTGGCTTCTCTACTGTTATCTGTACAAAAGTACACACCGTTCCTAGATTCCCTGCAGTGAAAAGTTTATTATTTCTTATTTGATATTTTGGGTTTTTCCAATTTAATATAACAAAACATAACTGATGTTCACACTTAAGCATATCATGAAATACTGAAATGACTTCCAAATCAAGTCAAAATAATGTTTAACATATCACTAAAACTAAAGTACATTTTTTTCACAATTAAACTTACATCTTTCTACCTCAAAGTCAAATTACAATGTGCAACAGAATAAAGTAACATTAAAATTTTAACACATAAATAAAATAATAGGATCACATCTGGATCCAGGGAAAAAATAATTACCTTCAAATATCTAAAAGGATTACCTATAGAAGGGATAAATCTGTGACTTCTTTCAAAAGAAGTAATCCATGTAATATACATGATGATTTTTATTAAATAGAAATTCTGAATAACTAGACTGCTTTGTTCTTCAATCATGGACAAAACAGAGTTTACTGGATCTATGTACTTACAAAGTGCAAACTTGTAGGTATAAATATATAGCAGCAGTAAATGAACTAAGCCAGAAAACATAAAGTTATAATTATCCTCCCAAAGCAGGCAGTGTATTTTTGTAAAAGTTAAGACAATAAATAATACCCAATCTATTTGCTGGATTCCTTTTGAATAACATCCTTAGAAGATTTTGTGCTTCAGCACTAAGAAACTGAGGCATTCCAAGTTTTGCTCTGAAAAAGATTTTAGAAAATTTCATGTAAATCTAGCCATAATTTAAATTGACAAACCTCCAAAAAAAAAAAAAAAAAAAAAAACAACCTTCAAAGAATGCTTTAACAATGACAAATAATGTCCCTTATATGGTAGGAGAAAAAAACCAAGACAGTGTGAAAAAGTGTTTTATTGTGTCAACTGAAAACAAGTTTCAAGAAACTGAAAACAAGGATTTTTCTCCCCAAAAGAAAAAAATAAGTGTTTATACTTACTTTAATATCATATTCATGGTCTCATTTCTGTCTTTACCTTGAAATGGTAGAGTACCAGTAAGCATTTCAAACTAAAACAAACAAAACAAGGGCACATAATTTGGCAGAACTTAGAATATACGATAAAGTTTTTTAGGGAAAAAATTGAGACTTAGAATACATGATCATCCAATCATGAAGGATCTACATGATAGGTCAAAATAGGAACAGAAAACTAAGTCGATTAAGGAAATACACTTCTGTTACCCTACTATATATAGCCCAACTGATAGGTGACATGTAGCAAATAAAACCAACCAGTTTTTTTTCAGTCCTATCTAATCTGGCTAGGTTTCCAAACCAAAGCAATTTGAAAATAAATACACAGCATTTTCTTTTAAAGCAAATATTTAACAATGAATGGAATATAAAAATAAGCACTGAACGATTTCAAATTCATAGGAGCTTTTACACCTGAAACTAATATTACACTCTATATTAACTAAATTTAAACTTCCTTAAAAAGGAAGATACACAGAAGGCCAATAAGTATATGAAAAGATGCCTAACATCACTAGTCATAAGGGAAATAAAAAAAAAAGAAGGATATAATCATTCTCATTCTCCTCACTCCAAAAAGCAATAAAGAAAAAACAACAAGAAAGCTACACATGTTCACCAGTATCTTAAAAAAATAAGAAAGCTGTACATGGTATTTAAAACAAACAAAACATTTTCCCTAGGAGATTTAATTGCAATGCAGATTATTAGAACATTAAATAATGATATAAATAACTCGTTTTGAAAATGAAGTTCATTACAGTTCACTAAAGAGAAAAGTTTTTATATCCCTAATATTTAAATCTTGAACTTAGATTTAGTAATGCCTTTGGCTTCAAATTCCAGTCCCCTGCATCCAAACTTAAAGTTTTGGATCCACACTGGTGACTGGAGGAGCAGAGGTGGTAATGACAAGGACAAATAGGAGGATATTATATTGAAATCTCACCTCCCCCCCTAAATTAATTGTATGCTGGCTGACTGAGTAGTATTTTTAAAGGTCTCCAGATGACTCTGATCCTCTCTCTACTGCTCTCTCCTAATTTATTATCACCAAGAGGTTAACCATAAACCTGTAATAACCTATGCAACATATTATATATAAATTATTTCTCCACATCCAAAACCAGCTGTCCTTTCCAACTGTGTTTTTTCTGCTGAACTATCATTCTTTCAAAATTCCCTAAAGTTAGTAAATTTTAGAGGTGTTTTTATTTTTGATACCCTTTCTATCTGTGACATTAAATCAGCTATTAAGATAAGCCACTTCTTCCTTTGACATGTCTTTAAGATTTCCCCTTTTATATTCTATAATTTTACAACTGTCTTGTAAGGAGACCTCGTTGGTCTCCCTACTTCTAGTTTCCTCTATTTACAATCTGTTTATACAACGTTGTCAAGGCTAATCTTCCGAAAATACATTTTTACCCAATTACCATCTTGTTAAGGAATCTACAAAAGTTTGGGATTCCTGGGTGGCTCAGTCAGTTAAGCATCTGACTCTTGATATTGCCTCAGGTCATGATATCACAGTTCATGAGATCCTTGCTTGGGATTCATTCTATCCCTCATTCTCTCTCTCTCTCTCTTTCTCTCTCTCTCCCTCCCCCGTCAAAATAAATAAACATGAAAAATAAACATTCAAAAAAGAATCTACAAAAGTTTCCTACTACTCAGAGTATTACATGCAAATGCTTATTGACTTATAGTATCATTTCCTCCACCTTCACCCTCATTCTCTACTACTACTCTAATCAAACTAGTTCTCTAGCTCTTTGCTACTAATATGATTCTTGATTTGCAGCTATTTAAAATATTCTGCCCTTCACGGATTAATCTAAGTTCCACCTCGTCCACTTTTCCTACATCAACTTCATATGATTTCTTGCCTGAATTCCTAAGGTATACTGTGGATGGTTTATTTAGCTATTCCAGTTGTTTCCCCAACCAGAGTGTGTGCCTTCTTTGGTCATACAATGTCAAAAAATGTATCTTTAGTTTGTTGTTATCCCAATACCTTACCCAAATGCCAGGTTTATAATATGCCCTAATATATTAAAGTGTCATATAGTATGTCATAAAGTAATAAATAGGCAAGATGGATTATACAAATTTATTCAATAACTGTTCACTTATCACCCTACTTGACACTGCAAATTATATTCTTTTTTTCAATGTTTAATTATTTTTTTTTACAAATAGTTTATTGTCAAATTAGTTTCCACATAACACTCAGTGCTCATCCCCATAAGTGTCCTCCTCCATGCCCATCCCCCCTCCCCCCCACATCCATCAGTCCTCAGTTTTTGTCAGCATTCAAGAGTCTCTCATGGTTTGCCTCTCTCCCTTTCCCCCACCATTTCCGCCCTTCTTCTCCCCCATGGTCCTCCGTCAAGTTCCTCCTAATCCTCCTATATGTGCAAACATATGATATTTGTCCTTCTCTGCCTCACTTATTTCGCTCAGCATAACACCGCAAATTATATTCTTAATTTATACCAAATTAGTCAGTTTCTATGCCTGCTATGCTAGGTATCATGACAGATGAAAAGTAGTATGAGACATGATTGCTCTCCTCAAGAAGTTCACAGTCTACTAGGGACATGCATGAAACAATTTGACAATAAGACAGTTTATGGTAAGGTGCTAAATTCTGTGATACCTAATTAAAATACCATGTGACGTTTTTAAAAAGTTTATTTTTGAGAGAGACAGAGAGATTAGGGAAGGGGCAGAAAAAGAGGGAGAGGAAGAATCCCAGGCAGGCTCTGCACAATCATCATGGATCCTGATGAGGCTCAAAACCATGAACCATGAGATCATGACCTAAGCCAAAACCAAGAGTTAGACACTTAACTGACTGAGCCATCCAGGAGCCCCTCATGTGACATTTAAACACAGTTTCCTGCGGTGCCTGGGTGGCTCAGTCAGTTAAACATCCGACTTCAGTTCAGGTCATGATCACACAGTTCATAAGTCCCAGCCCTGTGTCTGGCTCTGTGCTGACAGCTCAGAGGCTGGAGCCTGCTTCGGATTCTGTGTCTCTCTGCCCCTCCCATGCTCATACTCTGTTCCTCTCTCTCTCTCTCTGAAGAAACATTAAAAAAAAACTTTTAAACACAATATTCTGAAATCTAAAATCTGGTAAGCCTTTTTCTAAGTTTCAAATTTGAATAGCTTATAAAAGAATGCTGTCATTTACTTTTTTATCTAGAAACTTTAAAAGAAATCAGAATACCAAAACCTTAATTCTTACTTTATAACAACTAACCAATAAGAAATTTTGTAATAATCATGAATTATCAAAACTTTGTTCTCACCTGATACATTCCAAAATTTAAATTAAATTTCTAAATAATATTAATTTTATATTGTCATAATTTAACAAATAATGCTACTTACCATAAGTACACCATACGACCACCAATCAGCACTTTGGGAATGGCCTCTCCTATTTACTACTTCAGGAGCCATGTACTCCACTGTACCACAAAATGAGTAAGCCTTCTTTTCCTGATCTACAGATTCCTTGCTGAGTCCAAAATCTATGATAACAATGTGACAGAAAATATATCTGAAGATATTCAGAAAATAGAAACTACCAAATGAAACAAAATTATGTGTTAGACCTTAAAACAATTCATGGATGGGCTATAATTACTCTTAAGAAAACTCCTGTGAGACAAATAATGGAAAACAGCTTGTATTTCCTAATGATGCTGTTCTTAAAACAGCATTTAAAAATTGCTTAGTTAAATTTCACCCTCAAAATATACATTTTCTTATTTATACTAGTATGTCATTAAGCAATTTTGAGAGGTCAACAGTTAAATCAAAGCTGTCATAGTTTAAAACAGACTAAGACAAAAAAGAAACAGTAACTTACACTTTTTAAAACACTAAAAAAGGAAATTATGCTTTTGAGCTCCATTTTTGTCTAAAGCTTTCAAAGAGCTAAAGGTACTAATATAAAAAAAATCATTCCTATGTACTAGCATTGAAAATTGGAAGTTGGAATGTAAAAAGTACCATTTATAATACCACCAAAAAATCCCTGCATGAAATCCACAGGCATAAATATACAAAGTATATGTAAGACATGTATGCTGAAAACTAGAAACACTGATGAAAGAAATAAAAGTAGATCTAAATAAGTGGAGAGATATATTGTATGCATGGTTTGAAAGATTCAATTTTGTTAAAGATATCAATTCTCCACAAAAACTGATCTACAGTGTCAATGAAACTTTAATAAAAATCCCAGCAAGATTTATTTTGTAAAAATAAAAAAAGCAAAATTTAAAATTTATTTAAAAAAAGAATAAAGAAAATATAACAGCCAAAATAATTGTTAAAAAAAAAAACACTGAAGGACTTACACTACTTCACTTCAATACTTAAGATAAAGCTACAGTAATCAAGAAATCGTGGCATTGGAAAAAGGCTAGATGTATATATATCAATGCAAAAGGGTCCAAGATTAGACTAACACATATAGTTCTGTTATAATACTTGTTTTGAAAATGCAAATTTATTCCAATGTGATGATATATTAGGAAACAATTTGATCATAACACAAATTTCAAATAGGTTTGGCTTAATGTGTGGTTTATGTGCACTTTTGTCTACAAGAAACACTAGGTGAGACACAATAAAACTGTACCTAGCTGGGGGTGCCTGGATGGCTCAGTCAGTTTAAGTGTCTGACTTTGGCTCAAGTTGTGATCTCAGTTCATGAGTTTGAGCCCCACATATGGCTCTCTGCTGTCAGCACAGAGCTCGTTTTAGATCCTCTGTCCCCCTTGCTCTGCCCCTGACCCCATCTCAAAATTAAATAAACATTAAAAAACTGCACCTAGCTGAACCAAGCCAAGTAAAAATAGATACATGCACATACCCCAAACATCTGCCAGCTATTTCAGCTCATCATGTGTATTATGAGTCATCTGTGTCTACCTGTAGTGTTACAATCTCCTTCCAATTCCACATAATCTATCTTCTATAACTTCACAATAACTAACATACTGCAACATTTCTGACAATTATACAGGCAAATTTCAGGATATTTGTCAAGATAAGTTTCCTTTTTATTGTAGTATTTATATATTCTTAAACATTTAGAATGTGTAAAACAATGTTGTCATTTTAATCAACTTCTTATCTTTCTTTAGTGTGCACTGGTTATATATTTGAGTGTTAAATCCCTAATTACATTTCCCCCATAAGTTCTGTGCTTTTTATTATATGCAATTTTTCACAGTGATTTTTTTAGAGATCACTTGTGCTGTATTATAACTCGCTATATATTGTCAATTGATTTCCGATAAAGGTGTAAAAGCAATTCCATGAAGAAAGTTAAGTTCTTTAAAAATTTTTTAATGTTTATTTTTGATGTTTATTTATTTTTGAGACAGAGACAGAGCGTGAGCAGAGGAGGGTCAGGGAGAGAGGGAGATACAGAATCTGAAGCAGGTTCCAGGCTCTGGGCTAGCTGCCAGCATAGAGGCCGACGTAGGCCTCGAACCCATGAATCGTGAGTTAATGACTTGAGCAGAAGTCGAACTCTTAACCGACTGAGCCACCCAGACACCTGAAAGTTAAGTCCTTAACAACAAATGGTGACAGAACAATAGGATTAATATACCAAAAAAATCCCGATACCATAAAAATTTTAACTAAAAATGAATCATATAACTAAATGTAAAACGTAAAACTTAATTTTTCAAAAGAATAAAAAGAAAAATCTTTGCGATCTTTTGTTAGGCAATCATTTCTAAGATACAACATCAAAAGTATAACTCATGAAAGAAAAACGTTGATAAATGGACTTTATCAGAATCAAAGCTGCTCTTCAATAGATACTGTTCAGAGAAGCAAAAAAAGCTACAGACTGGAGAAAATATTTGCAAACTGCATATCTGATATAGCTCTTGTATTTAGCATATATTTTTAAAAAACTCAAAATTCAATAACAAGAAAACAAACAATCCCCATTTTTTAAATGGGCAAAAAGGTCTGAACAGACATTTCTCCAGAGAAATAAATACATAAAACGATGCTCACTGTCATTAGTTATTAGGAACATTCATATTAAAATCCTGATGAGATACTACTACATGACTATTAGTAGAGCTAAAATAAAAGTACTGACAATACCAAGTAATGGCAAGGATATAGAGCAAGTAGAGAACTCCTATGTAGCTGATGGGTATGCAAAATGATACAACGACTTGGAAAACAGTTTGGAGGTTTATCCTTAAGTTAAAAATATACTTACCATATGACCAAGTAATCTCACTCCTCTGGTATTTACTCAAGTGAAATAAAAATTTATGTTCATATAAAACCTACACTTGAATATTTATAGAGGCTTTATTTATCACTTCCAAACTGGAAACCCAAATACCCCTTAATTAGGGATTAGACAAACCATAGTATCATCATAAAATGGAACACTATTCAGCAATAAAAATAATAAATTGATACACACAACAATATAGATTAATCTCCAAATGCACTGTATTAGGTAAATAAAGCCAGACTCAAAAGGCTATTTATTATATGCCTCTGTTTACATTGCATTGTGGAAAAGGCAAAACCGTAGGGACAGAAAGCAGATAGATGTTTAGGTAGGGTAAAAAAGAAGACTGACTTATGGCGAAATTGTGGAGGATGATAGATTTGCATTATACCTCTTTTTTATTTTAAGTTTTAATTTAAATTCTAGTTAGTTAATATATATGGTAAAACTGGTTTTAGGTGGAGAATTTAATGATTCATCACTTACATAATCTTGATGTTGGTGGTGGGAATACAACTAAACATATTTGTCAAAGATTGCAAACTATAGATGAAAACGTGATTTTTTTTAAAATTAAACTTTATATTTTGAGACAATTGCAAATTCATATGCATTTATGTGAACTACTACAAGAGATCCTATTTACCATTTACCTACTTTCTCCCATGGTAACATCTTACAAACTATATTACAATATCACAGCCACAATACTGAAAAGGATGAAGTCATGATACAAAATAGTTCCATCACCACAAGGATCTGAAGAATGAGTTTTACTCTATGTAAATTATATCTTAATTCTATAAATGATAAAAAAGCTATAATCCCTATATTGTTCTCTTAAAAAATACCAACATTAATAATTAAGTTAAGCATCTCTCAAAACTAATTTTCTAACCATGTTCAATATTTTCATTTAAAAATCACTTATCCTTGTATAATAAGTTGAATGCATTATGATTTTTAACATAATTAAACATTTTTCAGTGTACTATTATTAGTTCCTTTCTCTACATTCTGAGACTTTTAAACTCTTGCACATTCCATTTCAAAGATTAAGTATAATAAAAGCTAGTATTCAAGGTCAGTTCAGCTGAATATAACATACCTTATAGAGAAGAACACTGACTTCTTTGGCCATTCCACAGAGGAGGAGAAAGGGAAGAGAATTTTTTTATCCTCCATTACCTTTCAGAGATTTATACCACTCTATAGAGGTCCTCTGCTATATTTTTTCTGACAAAACTGACATTTAACACTAGAATTTGCTCAGCAATCAATTGAAAAATAAACTTTTTCAATAAGACTTAATAATAAGACTTAGCTACAAGATTAAATAAAACATATATTAATTCGTGATTTCTTCAAGCCACTAATTCAAAAACAAAATGCAGAATTCAGCTACAAAAAGGTTTTTTTTGGGGAGGGGTGTTATACCTTTGTAAACTTAAATGACTCTAAAACTTTAAATTTTAAAAGCATGCCTAGAAAACAATAATTTAAGTATTTACTATGAGTAAAAGTAATCTCAGTGACTAATATGCAGATAACCACAAAATTATTAAAACTATTTTTATGTATACATTTTCTTGTAAATATCCAGCTCAAGTACTATGTGATATAAATTTCTGACACTGTATATTTTTTCTCCTTTCTCTGTATATAAACTGCCCTGAATTGTGTCCCTCATAAAATACATTAAGCAACCAAAGACAGTTCAAATCAATTGTGTGCTCAATTTATAGTTTTTAATGGGATATTATGTGTAAATATTATTTTCTAAACCAGGCAAGTCATATTACATGGTTAATTTTATATAGACTGTGAGGTGAGGTGTTCCAGAAAAAAAATAAGACATAAAATCAATATAAATAATATATTGACATGTATGCAGATATTTTCAGGGTATTTATTCTCATTCTACTGATCTTCTTTATACAATCATAATCTTAGTATGAAGTCAATTAGGCTCAAAGCATAGTCATACCAAGAATCCTCTCTATAGTCCACTGTCATTACAGGGTAACCTATTAAACATTAAGTCTATTCTTTTCATCTAGAGGATTTTTAAAGTGGACAGGTAAAAAGAAAGATATTGCCTGTCTCTTAAGATTAAGGAAGACCTCCTAATTCTTCCTCCTAAGCCTAAGAAGACTCTGCCTAGATGAGACACTCCTAAATCACTACAACCCACTGGTATCAATGACAAATAACAATCAATCTGGTACTTTTTACTGTAGTATT